GAAGCGGCCAGCATACTTTCGTAGTGACTCGTCCGGTTTCTAGCGAATAATGTACAAGTCATATGTGAATAAGTAATCTGTCTAGAAGATGTGTTGAAAGACAAACAGTTTCCTCAGTTCCTTAAATGAGTCTACTGTCTTAGGTAGAAGATGACAATACCAATTCAGAGCTCCGCTAGAAAGGGTAAAGGGGAAGAGAATACTTCGTTCTTCGTCAGTGTGCATCCGATATGCCATGGTGGACTCAAAGAGGTTAAGGTGTTCAATCGGGTCCTCCCTTCCAGTGTAGAATTGTAAGCCAAGCTTCTACTTTATCTTTGCTTGGAGGGGGTGTCGAGGATCCTCCTTGTAAGAGGACCAGACCTAGGTTGGTTCCAGTAAGGTATTTCGACCTGACGTTCTGCCTTCAACATGTTTACTTCCTCAAGGAGTTGTAGGACAAGGGGGTTTTGAGTGGAGTTAGGTACTGCTGGATCATTCTTCCGTAAGTCTCCATCTCCTCTTGGAAGTAGGAAGGCTTGATCAAGGGCATGAGATTTTTATTTGGACTCACCGTACTGACTTCCAGGACGAGCTTATCGAAACGCGCCTGAGTCCTCCGTACCTTCATATTCCTCTAGGACATGTGGCTCATTCCCTAGATTGGTAGTTGGCTTGGGGTATGAGAGAGGACCGAATCTTTCAGAAACCCTTGGGTCATTGACCTTCGAGCTTATGTGGATGGGGTTCTCTCGACGTTGCCTCAGGAAGTCCCAATAGTCACGATAAACGGATTTTGATCCTTCTACTCCTTCTGCAAGAATGTGCCTTCCTCCACTTCTCCTGCTTCGGGTCGAAGCAGCTGAGTCGAGAGAGGTCTCATGTTGATCAACACCTTGATGAGTAACTCGCTCCCCATTAGAGATATCCATGTTGAAGGCAGGTGATCCCCCGAAGGAAAATATAGATTTATGGATTTCTAGTACCATGCATATACAATCAAATTATTACGAGAGAAGTGTCATACATTTATCAAGCATAGCAATCCCTTCAAGATGCATAGGTTTATAAGATGCATCAAAACATTATGAAGACAAGTAGGAGTACGTTGTATGTCTAAGAAAGGATTGACCACTCCAGCTCTTTGCCCTGAACTCTGAGCCGCCTCCCTCCTGCCTCCTCCCTTTGGTGAAGAGTCTCCAGTCCCTTCAAGTTCCAAGATTGAAACCAAGTGTATGGAAAGATGAGGATAACCAAAGGGACAGATATTCTAGTTCATCCCCTTGGTGGCCGGCCTTTGAAGATTAGAGAGAGAATGTTTTACTTTTCTTTTGTGTATTCTCAATCACCTAACACACTATGTCTTGTTTTGTTCCTTTTATTTCTTAAAGAAACAAGTCAACAATTGACTCACTCTCTCTCTCTCCCTTCTCATTTGGCCGGCCTATTGTGTTTAATTTGGGCTTTGGGCTTTTAATTATTTCAAGTCATCCAATGCTTGAATAAAAGCCCAATGGGTTTTGGCCCAATGGGCCCGATTAAACCCGAACGTTTCTTTAAGCCCAAAACGATCTTTATCGCTTTTATGATTTCTTTAGACTTTCTAAATTAATCAAAAACACTTAATTAATCCAATTAATTATTTCCTTCATCCATTAGTTACTCACTACAAGAGTGTATCGGTGAACAATCTTTTAGGTTCTAATTAGCAAGGCAGTGAGGTGATTGGCACCAATCCAATTGATTATCCAATCACTTAGTGATTTAAAACTTACTTTTAATTCACCTTCCTTTTAATGACTACATTTAATCATCTAGAAGAACTCACAAGCCATGAGTGACATCTAATCATATCATGGCTACCCAAGCTAATGTAGAAGTTATTCGGAGAACCTATTCAGTTGGAATTACAATGTAATTCGATCCTTCTCTAAAACAATACTCTCAATCACATTACTAGGGTATGGATTTATAATGTCAAACCCCTAATGTGATTATTCCTTCTTATATGATTCATTTGAGACGTATAGGAACGCTTTCCTTTATTACGCTCGATACTTCGGCCGAAGATTCCCGAATCATATCTTAGAGTATTCATCCTCTCTTATCGAAGATTAGAGATTCCTTGTTGCGCATTCACTTGCCTTCATGGCTAAGTGGCTTAACCCCAACGATGCCTTGGACACTCTCGAATGGAATGACTTTAACATAATCAAAGATTAAGTACTTAACCACAAGACAACGAGATGCCTCAGGTCAAAGGATTACTTACATTATTCCAACCATTAGAGTTACTTGCTTGACATGTGAGTAGACCTCCATGCAAGTACTCTCGTTCGATTGTGTTCAGTGAACTCATTCCCTTAATGAGCACCTACATGCTTGTCTTAGTGTCGCTACACGAATGGGATGAGACTTTCCATCCTTCCAATTGAAGCGGACATAGTATGTACCAGTCTATGGATTGTCAGTATCCCTCCGACAATCCTTATGACCAGGAACCTTTTTGGACATGATGGTTATGAGAAGAAGGTCTCTGTATCCTAACATCATTAGGTTACTTCTTCCATCGATCCATTGTCCATGGATTCACTATTTAGGACATATTTCGTTCATTGAGATAGTCCCAATTAGTATCTTTGCCTTCCGATGTATAAGAGTCATATATACATCAATTCATTGTCCTGAAAGGTTTCTTCCAAAGATTGACTTTCAGGGCATATTTCCAACACCCCCGTGTTGGGGGGGCATCCAGGTGATGGTTGACTTCCTTAAGGGCGATGAGTTCGTGTGTTTGAGTATACCTAGCTTCAAGGAGCATTTCGAAGAGCTTCTCATACTGCTCCTGGAGGATCTCATCGACTTTAGCTTGAAGAACAAACCTCTTTCGTTCCTTCTTTCGTTGCTTTGCACTAAGTGCGAGGGGGTGTCGTTCTACGTGCTGTGGCCCCCTTCATTCCCCATGTTGGAGAGGGGTGCCTGGTCGAAGGAAAGTGTGCGAATGGTGGAAACCAGCTTAACAAAGCTGGAGAGAGTAGGAATAAGTACGATTCTAACAGACGACGCCAAATGTTGATGCATAAAATCGGCGAGGACTTTGGTACAACAGAAAGTGTGGAGTTTATGACCTTCGCTAGATTGCTCTGGTCATTAATGTAGATAAGTATATAAATGAATAGAGACAGGGAAACAAGCAGCACAAGATGTACGTGGTTCACCCAGATTGGCTACGTCTACGGAGTAGAGGAGTTCTCATTAGTTGTGAAGGGTTTACACAAATACATAGGTTCAAACTCTCTTTTAGTGAGTTCTGGTGAATAGTTTAGTACAAATGACATTAGAGATTATTGTGGGAGAATGATCCTCTTTTATAGAAGAGAGTTTCTAGTTTTGTTCTGACATTGACACGTGTCGTGTTATGATTGGCTCTGATATCGACACGTGTCGCGCTATGATTGGCCTCTCATACTGACATGTGTCGTGTTGTGATTGGCCTCCTGGTTGGAGGAAAAGTCTTGTGGGTCATTGACGGTATGTTGTTGACCGGTGCTTAGTAGTTTCGGGATTGGTCAAGTATGGTACAAACACATCGTATCCTTTCTGGGTATGTAAACGCGTCTTAAGTGTCATAATATAATTGGTTGAAAACTAAAAAAATAAAAATTCGTCAAATTGTATTATGAGATATAGTGTATCGAACCGTGTCCTTGGCATGATAAAAGTTTGGGGTGGGCACTTAAAATCGAAACCGAAACACGAACCAAATCGAACCACATCGAACGGTTTGGTTTTGCGGTTTTGAAACGTTTCAACCGCAACATAGAAAACGGTTTGGTTTCGGTTTTGGTTTTTGAAAACCGCACCGAAATCAAACCGTACCGCAAATATTAATAAATATTTAATTAAATGTCCATATTAGATGTCATATTTTAATTGGTTGTTTGTTAGAATCTATACACTTAGTATGGACTCAACCACACTAGAATATCATCATTCATTGCTTTCTTTCGTTCATTAACTTAAAGGACCTTTGTTATTTTATACCATCACACACACATATATGTACAAGGGTGGACTAATCTTGTTATCAAAAGTCGAATAATGATCTAATGAAGTCTACTCATTTGAAGCATGATATCACATATTCTAATATGAAAGTTTTGCTCACGTTTAATGAATTCAAATTTATTCAACTTGTTTTATGATAAACACTCTTAAGGGACACCATTTGTTGCACAAACATGTTTTAACATCACAACTGCATGCAATGTGTTATGTGTTTACATAACAAATGTCTTTTTCCTATTACTATTGGGAAATGCTTATTAATATATTAAATTACAAATTGTACATTTTTTCTTAAAAATCAAACCAAAACCGTTTGAAACCGCACCGAATCAAATCGCAAAATATTTCAATTTTGATTTTGATTTCATTTAAAACCGCATCAAACCAATCCGTGCCCACCTCTAATAAAAATTTCTTCCGAATCTCCTATTCTATCCATCCAGTAAAAAAGTAAATAAATAAAGTTTTAAAGGGATTCGCATTCCTGGAGGGGAGAAATCTTCTGGAACAAAACTATGCGTTATAGGAAAAGGGGTTAAAAAAAAAAAAAAAAAAACAAAACAAAAAATGAAACCAGTGGCATTGAAACGCTGAGTTGGTAGCTGGTTTAACCACACACCCAAAACTCATACCACCAGTGCACGTGAACTGGCAAAGCAAAGCAAATAAAGTTGTAACCACCAAAAATCTCCTCGTTCATTCGCCTCTCTTCTTCTTCTTCTTCTTGAGAGGAAAGCGTTTCCATTTTACTCGTGCTCGTGCAGTGCAACGTGCTTCTCAATTTCAATGGCTGCCGCGCAAGAGTCATCGGATGCGGAGAGGAAGAGAGTGGTGGTGATTGGAGGCGGCGTCGGCGGCTCCGTCGTAGCCCATTCTCTCCAGTTCTGCGCTGATGTTGTCCTTGTTGATCAGTAAGCCATGCTTCTAAACCCATTATTTTACTTGTTTTCTATCATCCGACGATCATTGAGTAATACTTTAATCTTATTTAAACTACGGGGAGGGAATTCGAACTTGAGTGCAGAGAGAGGAGTAGCCATACTAGGTAGGGTTTTTTTGAATTGAATTTATCACTGTTTTTTTTTTCTTTTTTTTATTTTATCAATTGCCTTGAATTTGCTATGCTATGCTGTGTTATGCGGCAGAACATGGTCATAGAATTTGATTCTGCAATTGGATTGGTTTTCTGTGTATTTAGAGAAAATGATAACCTTATGAGCCGACAGAAAGCTAACTTTTAATTAACAGAGGTCCGTTCTCTATGCACACTTCACTCAAAGCCCGGCTATCTGCACCGAGAAACTAAAATAAAGAGCCTTTGTGTAACTTTTATTATGGTGTTGTTTGATGTAGGAATATTAGTAAGAAAAAGAGTGGTATTGCTTTTATTTTCATGGTTCTTTGGGCTAATGTAAATCATGTATGAATGCTAACTCATATTTATCGGACAATCCTACAAAGCTAGCGATTCATGATTTCTTAAGATAATGTACTGGTGAAGGATGTATTGGGATAATGTAAATCATGTATTTTGAAAGATGTTTCTAAATGATGTGCTCCTCTAGTTTCTGTGTTGTTGGGTTCCGTAGATAGTTATCTTAGAAAAGTCAATTGCAAGGATACCTTCTACGGTAAGAATTCACTATAGAGACCATAAGGGGGTGCAAGTGCAACCCTACTGCTGCATGAATAGAAGATGAAGAAACTGAAAACAAAGACAATTTACAGCCCGGATTTTGAGCATAGTATAGACTCCTTTCTGTTTTTGGACGAAGGGCAGGCAGTGGGAGGTTTAGTTTTGACAAGACTGCAAACCAAACACAGCTAATTCACATGAACAGGAGGTGCTTGCTGTCTGGACAAGCAACGGTTCTTTTCTGTCCTGATAGCGCCGATTTGAATGAAATATGTATGGAATTGATTTCAGATTGAAAGTAAAAGCTATGGAAATGTCTTTTCTCTGAAGATGAATAAGCAGTGATTCTGTGGACAAAGGAGACGGTTTGCAAATGTGCAATGAGTTGGAATTACCTTAAGGCTTATTATTTAGCTGAATGACAGTAGAATAAAGGATTCAGATGTTTGAATTGAGGAGGCTATGGCTCATGATTATTGGAAGAAGTAGTCTGAAATGGTGAAATATACTACGGGTACTGATCTAAGTCATTGTGATTTCTGTGGTTGCTCTTGCTGTCTTTTGTGGATGCATTTGTGCCCCAACGATCTTGGTTTGTACCTTTTGAACCAATGATATTTTAAGTTTATGTGTGGGAAACCAAATATTCGACTTGTGATGTGGTGGCTCCTGGCAAGTTTCAACTGGTTAGTTAGCCTTCATATATCATTCGTTAACTTAATCATGCCTTTGTAAACTTTCCTAAGGTTAGATGAATATTTAGGTTTTTCTAATAATTTGAAAAATGAAATGATGCTCAGCTGCTGAGGTATATTAACACCATTCAAGGTTTAAATGGATGAGCAGAGATTTATTGCAAATAAGTAGCTTCATGATTTTCAGGCTTTCTACGATAGTAATCAATGAGTTTAGCTCAAACACCAATTGAAGAGTTTGAGAAAGAAGTTTTGTCATAGATGTAAGTGTAGAAGGGGAAGAAAACTAGGTGTACCATCAACCATCAAGGGCCTATTTAGTAATAGTTTTCATCAGGAGTGAACAAGAAACGCCAATGGACTTCGTTTCATTCTTTTATCATATTACTACTTTTTTGTTTAATTTTTTTAAGATAAAAGTATTTACAATGTTTTGTTCTATTTGTTTTATGAATTTTTCAATTGTTTGATCAATGATCATTTATAACAGGCAGCGCAAGGCTTTTTGGGTGTACTTGTCAATTAATTACTCCAGTGGAGATAGTAAACATGATAGATGAAAAGAGGGAAGTGGTGTCACTGATGACCTGTTTAAACGTTTTGAATGGTAAAATGCATTACTTTGTCATGCAACTGTTGAGTAAGGCAGTTTTTTCCAGTTTGTATTGGCACATGTTTATGCCGCAACATGAAGTAAAATTACTATGTAACCATGTATTCTCTCTCTCTCTCTCTCTCATCATCTGACCATGCTTAATACCTCTTCTCATACCTTATTAAATTGGAATGTTAAAGACACCTACCATTTCCCTACCTACATGCAACAACCAAGACCTGTCATGGTCCCCTTGATTTGAGTTTTATTACATGTCCACATCTTATTTATGATTAAGATGATGTGTTTTCTCTGGTTTTAGTTGTCCTTCTTTGTATCTGATCGATGCTCTCTTGGAATTTCTCCTGTAGATTACTTATTTGTAAACAAGAATCATGGTTTCTTTTGCGTCATTTCTGGTTTCCAGTCCACTTATTCCTCAGTATGCATAATTTAGTATCAATACAACTATAATTATTGACGTATCAAGTTATTTTATTCTTTGTTCCTTTTTAATGACATTTTTGTTTACACCTCAGGAAGGAGTATTTCGAGATCCCATGGGGAAGCTTGAGGGCAATGGTGGAGCCATCATTTGCCAAAAGGTCCATCATTAATCACTGCGATTATCTTCCAAATGTGCGGATTGTTGCATCTACTGCAGCTAACATCACAGACCATGAAGTATTGACTACAGATGGCCGTTTGCTTGTATATGATTACCTTGTTATAGCCACTGGTCACAAGGACTCTGTTCCAAAAACCAGAGTTGCGAGGCTTAGTCAGTACCAGGCAGGTAATACATAAAGATTCATAAGTATCACTGCATTTGTGGGCTTGTGGTCAGTTTTTATGATAGCTATTGCATTTAGTACTTCACCCACTTCCAAATTAAACTTAACATATAAATCCACATAACTCATGTAAGAAATCTCATACGTTTACTTTTTTTTCTTTGAGATTGCATTTGTGGACTTTTAACCGCTCTACCAGTAGTAGTTAAAATGATTTAGTCCCACTCAGCCTACCCGAGTAAGTGTTAAGAAGCTTTAATACTACACGTGTTTCACTTAATTTAGGTTACGGGATTTAGGAGTTAGGATTGTAGTTGGTTGTTTATGTTTGTTGAGTTTTTATTTTTTTTATTTTTGTGAATTGTTTGAGTCTTTGAAGCATTCTCATTATATTAGGATTTTACTTAAGGAGTTTCTGTTGTACATACTTGCATTGCATGTTTGTTTCTTACTTATGTTGTATGCTTTTTGTGCATTTTTGAGGGAAGGCTCCTTATGTCTCCACAAACCCCACCCCCCAAAACAAAAAAAAAAAAAAGAAAAAAAATAAACTAGGTATATATTTGTTACTTATTAATGAAATATACTCTTGCTGTTGAGTTTTGTTCATAATGATTTCATTTATCCCGAATATGTTTTTATATGTATATTTTGATCGATGATATGAGAAACAATATTAGGAGGCTCCTTTAATAGGTTACGTAGCTTAGAGCTATAGCACACCCAAGAAAAAATCCTGGCTCCGTCCTAAAAAGGAAAAGGAAAATAATGAAAATAGAATTTTAATTTTAATTTCGTGAAGGTGCTCCAACAAGGCTACAATACTTAATGCTGACTTCTATGTCTTAATTGTTCACCATTTGATGAAGCCTTTGGCCTCAAATCTGAATTTATTCTCTTTCTGTGTCCAGAGTTTGAAAAGATCAATTCTGCTGAATCAATCCTGATTGTTGGAGGGGGTCCTACTGGTGTTGAACTTGCCGGTGAAATTGCCACTGATTTTCCAGAAAAGAAGGTGACACTTGTGCACAGGGGGTCAAGGCTACTAGAATTCATTGGCTTGAAGGCTTCCCAAAGGGCACTTGATTGGTTAATATCAAAAAATGTTGAAGTTCTTTTGAATGAGTCCGTTAATTTGAACAATGTATCTGATGGTGTATTTCAAACATCTTCTGGAGAAGTTATTGCAGCTGATTGCCACTTTGTGTGCACGGCTAAACCAATGGGTTCGTCATGGCTTAGGGAGAGTATTTTACAGAATGACTTGGATATGCAAGGAAGATTGATGGTTGATAGAAACATGAGGGTTCGTGGTCATAAAAATATCTTTGCAGTAGGAGATATAACCGATGTTAAGGTCAGCCAAGCCTATCTTTCTCTTGTGTTTTTAGTATTTTTTATTTTTTGCTTTTTGCTTTTGGCAGTCAATATTTAGTAAGATACTCCTTGTTTGAGGCATGTGGACCTGATATGTTCTACCCATGGACAAATAGGTGGTGGTAGTCGAATTCGAGGATCCTAAAGTTAAAAAGTGCAAATCTGGAATGTAACTACTAACTAGGTCATGGTTAGTGGTTAGTGGTTAGTATACAAGCTGTAATTATAAGTAACTATTGAGGGGCTGGATAAATTTGGGAAAAAATTCAAGGTTTGATTCACATAAAATGCTAGGGGCCGAAAAACACCTGAGCTAATTATAAAACCGAAAAATTATAGAGTTAATTAACTGTTTGATGGTAGAGGCAGAACTGCAATCATGATTTTGCTTTTCTCATAGTTTAATAAGTTTTGGAATATTATGAGGCCTGAACTTTGTTCGGTATTTCTATTTCGTGAAACAATGCACAAAACTTCTAGTCTTGTGGTTAATAAGCAGCAAAATTATCAATTTATAAATAAGCAAAATTATCAGTTTATAAATAACTTCAGACAAGAAAAAAATAGGATGATTGATAAATGGGGAGTTTTCAGTATGATACAGTGTTTTGTAGAGAATATCACCAGTAAGTAGCTCTTATTTTGAGAAACCTCATACTAAAGTGAAAAGATAATTTAGAAACCACACAGATCGGTTTTTAACAAGAACAAAATGTCGAACAGACTACAGACCCCACTGCAATATGACAGCTCTGATTTAGATTTTGCTTATACTCGGTAATATTGACTTCTTTTTTTTGTGAGGGTTCAAGGTCATTTTGGCGAGAAGTAACAGCCGTATGAGTTATGAGTCTGGTGACAAAGTTGGGTCAACCTTTGCTGCGATTTTGTTGTTCGTCATTTTCACTATCAATGTCTACGAATTTTCATATATTAAAAAAAAAATCTGTCTTAAACTAATGAAAACAATCTATTAAAACAGGAGATCAAACAAGGATATTTAGCACAAAGACATGCTGAAGTGACTGCCGAGAACCTGAAGCTATTGTTGAGAGGACGAAATGAAAGCAAGATGGCTACATATAAGCCTGGTTTAGAAATGGCACTAGTTTCACTTGGGAGGAAAGAGGGAATTGCTCAGTTCCCATTAGTGACGATTAGTGGTTGCATCCCAGGCATGATCAAATCCGGGGACTTATTTGTAGGAAAGACAAGGAAACGTCTTGGGCTGAAACCTTGATAAACATGGAATCATTTTGGATGGTTTGGCAGGTTATTCAGGATATCAAACTCATCCTCCCCAGTTATTTCATTTAGAGCAGAATCGTTGAGTGGTACATTAACCAAGTTTGGGAGCTTGGTTATTGCAAACAAAAGTGGTGGTGTTCTTTTCCCTGTCCTTAGTGTTTGCTATCAAGCCTTGCAGGGGTGCTGGACTTCCCCATCTTATGCAGGTTCATGTGTGTTTCTTTTAGCCAAAAGAAAAAAGGAAAGGGAATTCCAAGTTCATATTCTGCAGGAACGCAAGTCGGGTGGTGGAAGTTAGATGTTCCAGGTTCCCGCAGCTTTCAGGTACGTGACCAAATTGTACGTCGCGGGGCATCTGTAATATTGATGTTTTTAGTAATTATGCAACTGAAGAGTTTCTAATTCTGATTAAACAAGGTAGAATGCCATTCAAAATTTCCTCTTGCAGTCTCGCCGGCTGCCTGCTATAATTTGTTGTTCTCCATGGACAAAACAATGCTGTTGAAGCCGTTGAGCAATTTTAATAGCCAACTCCGACTCCAAAGTATGTTTGATGAAACTAGATCTCAATCAGCTTTCATGTTGAAAGTTTTTCCTTAAGTAGAATACGGTATTACATACTTAGAGTCTGTTTGGTATTCTACTTGAATCCAACTTTTTAGACTCAAAACCACTTTCTAAGTTTTACAGCTTCAATTCTTGTTTGGTAGGATTGTTTTCAAAAACTGAAATCAAAACTAACTTGAAAATTAGCCTACTTATAGAAAGCATAGAAAGTGAGTTTTTAGAGTTTTTGTTTTTTAAGAATTTTTAGGGCATGTTTGGTGTCCTATTTGAAAGTTTTTATCATTTCTCAAAACATTTATTGAAAACAATTTTCTTTAAGACTCAAAAATTTAATTGGTTTGCGATTTAAAATTTTTTAATTTTACGACTTAAACTAGACAAAGAGATCTAAACAGAGGGAGTCGCAAGAGAGGGAGAAAGAGGGGAGAGGAGGAAAGACAGTAAAAAATGATTGAAGGAAATAGAAAGAAGAGAGACGATCAGATGAGATAGAGAGGAAAATGAGTGAGAGAAAGAGCTGAGAGAATGAAGAGAACGGATTGAAGGAGAGACGATAAAGGTTGAAAAAAAAAAAAAGGAGAGAGAAGAAAAGAAGGAGATAGATTTGGAGCAAGAGGGAGTGAGAGAGAAAAGAAAGGAGTGAGTTTAAGTCTCATACCAAACAAGTTTTTGAATTTTAAATAAAATTTTTCTTAAAACATGTTCTAAAGAAATGTTTTGGAAAATTATGATTTTTTATATTTTAAATACGATAGCCAACATGATGACTAAGTACACGGTCGAAATAGGGTCGACAACTATGGAGGGAATCTTACAGAGCACGGAACATCATTCATACAAAATGTGTCATTCCTCTTCGACGGAGTTTGGTCACATCAATCAAGTACTTCAAAAACATGATGTTAAATTCAATATTTTGTAGCCCTCAGTTGAATGAACATTCAATTAATTCTAGAGACTTCTAAAGTAGTGAAAATCGAGTTTGTTAAGGTCGATATTTTGCTAAGGGAACAAGGTCACGGTTAGTGTTATGGAAAGATAAAAAAACGTGTGTAAACATAAAAAATTTGAAGATTCTTGTTCAAGACATGATTTTGTTTGATTAAAAACTTCGGATTTCAACATGAGTGATATATCTTAAAAAACTTCACATTGTTATGGCATCTCTCGGAACTATAAGTTTGGCATTTAGTATGAACTTCAAGTGCGTTGTATTTACATTCTCAAAAGCAATACAAAATTCAATATTTGCAATTGAATTGAATAATCAAAATATAAATCAAGGCAAGGTATATGATTCGAACAACGTAAAATTAGAGTTTGTGCTTCATTGTGAATATTCATGCAATCAAGAATTGGAAAATATTGAAATTGAAACCATGTTTAAAAGTATTTGATTGATGCTACCAAACTCTCTTCTTTAGGCGACCTCTCCAAATTCACAACTTGGCGTTTGAGAATGCTGATAACATATTGTAAACCAAAATTTTGAGAATAAGAGGAACGATAATAGGGAGAAAGAGAAACGCAAGAAGATTTATAAGTTGTGTCTTTATTTATACTAGTTTATGAAAAAAATACTTGTTGCCCAAATAATACATTAACACACAAAATACATCTCTACTTCTTATTTACATAACACTAGTCTTTTTTTATACTAAAACAATTTTCTTTAAAAAAAAAAAAAAAACAATATTCCGCAAACAGATTAAAAAAGGTAAAGGGTAAAGGGTTAAAAACAAAAAGATAAATTCTAGATCCTTCCTTATCCGCATGCGAAATGTCAATACTAACCCTCAGCGACCACCCTTTGTTGACAATCAATCGCAGCCGTCCATTCCTTCGCTTTAATATACAGATCCCTGAACCAACACTCGTCTCTCTCTCTCGCCCTCCCTCTCTCGTTCCTCTCTGCTCAGTCTGACGACATACCTCCAATTAATCGAATTTCAAAATCGGTTAGTTCTCTATCATCTTTCTCTGTATCAATTTCAAAAACCGATTTCTGGGATTTGGGTTTTATTTGTTATTATTTTTTGAAATTTAATGGTGTTTTTTATCATTTATTTTTTAATTATTTAACAGATTAAGGCTAACAAGTGAGAATGTTTGGGAGAGCTCCAAAGAAAAGCGATAACAGCAAATATTATGAGATCCTTGGAGTTTCAAAGACCGCTTCGCAGGACGATCTAAAGAAGGCTTATAGAAAAGCCGCCATCAAGAACCACCCTGATAAGGGCGGCGATCCTGAAAAGGTTTTACTTTCTTTTTCCTAATATTAATATTCTCTTGGTTTATTAATTCAGCAGCTTCTTGATTTATCAAATCTATGGTTTCGTTGAGATCTAGCAAATTTTTTATTATTTTTAATTTTTTTTATAGCTTTGAGTATATTGGGGATTTCTGGGTTTTTTTATTTTTTATTGTTGTTTACTGCAATTTAAATTTTAAATTATTGAAATTTATATTCATCTGAATCGTTTTTGATAAATCAGAGGTATCACATAAAGCAGTTAACATGGTGAAACTATATATTGGGCTTTCTTCAATCTTTCTTATATGTTTGTGTTCGGACACTACGAGTTAAAGTCCGACCCGAGGGGGTGCTTGTGCTGGAATTTCATTGTCATCAAATAAAACTTGATGGTAGTTTCTTGTTATGTTGATTTTCTGACCGTTTTGATACCGGTTTGGAATTTAGTTTAAAGAGTTGGCCCAAGCATATGAGGTTCTGAGTGATCCAGAGAAACGTGAGATATATGACCAATATGGCGAGGATGCCCTCAAGGAAGGAATGGGTGGCGGAGGTGGCGGCCATGACCCATTTGATATTTTCCAATCCTTCTTTGGTGGAAACCCATTCGGTGGTGAGGCATTTTCCCTGTTTGTATCTGAGCTCCGTGTTTGTACTTTGTGTAAATTGGAATTAAGTGTTTTGATGCTATGTCCCAGGTGGTGGAAGCAGCAGAGGCCGAAGGCAGAGAAGGGGAGAGGATGTGATCCATCCCCTTAAGGTTTCTTTGGAAGATCTCTACAATGGAACGTCCAAAAAGCTTTCTCTCGCGCGCAACAAAATCTGCTCCAAATGCAAGGGGTTAGTGTTTTAATATGAGTTGAATGTTATCCGAAATTTACTCTAGTGCTCTATGGTTCTGATATGGAGATGGTATTTGACATGATTCAGTAAAGGGTCGAAGTCAGGTGCCTCAATGAAATGTCCTGGCTGCCAAGGTTCTGGAATGAAAGTATCTATTAGACATCTTGGCCCCTCGATGATCCAGCAAATGCAACATCCTTGCACTGAGTGCAAGGGTACTGGTGAGACCATTAATGACAAGGATCGCTGCACACAATGTAAGGGTGAGAAGGTTGTTCAGGAAAAGAAAGTCTTAGAAGTAATTGTGGAGAAGGGCATGCAAAATGGGCAGAAGATTACATTCCCTGGTGAAGCTGATGAAGCGGTAGGTTTACATGCTTTCACTTTGAACTTTGAAGGTTCGTTATTTGTAACCTCTTTATGTCAGTTGTCTTTGGTACATTTATTGATCCATGCTATTTTGTCTTCCTTTTTTTATTCATTCTGCAGCCAGACACCATCACAGGCGATATTGTCTTTGTCCTACAACAAAAGGAGCACCCTAAATTTAAGAGGAAGGGTGATGATCTCTTCTTTGAACATACCTTGTCACTTGTGGAATCACTCTGCGGCTTCCAATTTGTATTGACACATTTAGATGGAAGACAGCTCCTCATTAAATCCCAACCTGGAGAAGTTGTAAAGCCTGGTAAGTTTCATTATTACTGTACTCATTTTGAATAGTTGCTTTGTGCATTTGGTTAGTTCCTGATGTTATGAGTCATTATCAAATTCATTCTTGGAATTTTTTTATTATGCTACCTTTGTTAGGGTCGGTCAAATAAATGTGTAGGCCATAGTCACTTGAACCAATGATGATGATTTGGATTGGTGTTTTATGGGTTATTGACAAACAAAATGAAGTTTTGGGCGAAAAAGAAAAAGAAAACAGACAACCAAAAAATACATGAACAGAAAACAAACATATATGATGAGGATTCAAGGTTAGTGTAGACACAAAGGGAGTGAGAAGGTAATATGTTTTAAATTTAACGGAGAGTGAGAAAATGGAGCAGGTGGGAGTAACATCACATCTATTTGCCTTTTAAATTTAAAACATACTACCCTTTCACTCCCTTTATGCCTATAATCGCACCTGCATTCTCTCTCTCTCTCTCTCTCTCTCTCTCTCTCTTGTAGTTAGTGACTGGAAGAAGACAGAGTTGCTTGTGGTCATGTGTTTGGTTTAGTATGGTGCAATTATCATAACTATACTAATGGACGAAATGATATTTGCAACCTGACCCTGCAGTCCCTGCAATCGTAATATTCAGTTCAGTTACGAAATGCATAGCAGTGAAAGTTAGTGCATTAGTTTTTGGCCCGTATTGTGATAAAAGTTTTTGATTGAGAATTCTAGGCTTTCATCCTAACAAATGGACGTTGCATCAGAATATTTTTTAGTTCCACTGATTTAATTTGTTTTTTCACTGGTGTCTATCAGATCAATTCAAGGCTATAAATGATGAGGGCATGCCAATGTACCAGAGGTCATTCATGAAAGGTAAGTTATATATTCACTTCACAGTGGAGTTCCCTGACTCACTGAATCCAGAACAGTGCAAGGCTCTGGAGGCTGTCCTCCCCCCCAAGACTTCGGCTCAGCTGACCGACATGGAGTTGGATGAATGTGAGGAGACTACGCTGCATGATGTAAACATAGAGGAGGAAATGCGTCGAAAGCAAGCACATGCACACGAGGCATATGACGATGATGAGGACATGCATGGTGGTGCCCAGAGGGTTCAGTGTGCTCAGCAATGATTTGATAGGCTTTATGAAAGTATTCGATAAAAATAAAAGTTATCGGCATTGTGGTATGTTGGTGTAGTTTCCTAGTGTTTATTTGTGGTTTGGTTTGGTTTGTGAATCGTAACTTTTCGAGAACAATAGCTACCAAGGAGATGGTTTCTTATATTCTATATAATGTTAATTGTTGAATGCTAAGAATTTATATTCTGCTGCTTTAGGATGTTTGAAAGAGGTGATATGTCTTTGGCCCCTGGGGGCTTGAACTTATAACCATAATCCCATTTGCAACTTGGTTTGGTGATTAGCTACCCCGAAGTGAATGGAGACCGTTGCTAATCTGAGGGTTTAGGGGCGCTCTTTGTGCATCTTTACCCCAAGTGAACAAATCAATACCACCAAGTTGCGAATTGTGCATGTTTGCTTTGGATGATTTTTTGTGGTTGGGTGGTTTTGAGGTTTGCATATGAAGTATTTCGGATAGGATGGCTTATCTCTTGATTTAGGAAAACTAATAAAAAAGATTTGAAAATTTTGAGTTTTAATGATAAGAACAAAATAAAGGGTAAAATGAATAGTATTAGGATTGATTTTTTAATGTAAAAATATGATTTTTCATTAAAGTGAACAGTACCGTGGACTTTTCGTTAAAATTTCCTATTGTTTTTTATTTTGAGTTTATATTTTATGGAAAAGATCCGCTATCATTTTTTTTATAGGTGAATTAGGCCAATTTCGATTGGAAAGATTCTCAGAATGAGCTGGTCATGTTTTCTTTTTATCGTAACGAGTACTTTCCAAGTGTAAAGTTTACATTGAGCCAGTACATGGATGTCTCGCAAATGAAATGAACTCTAAAAACAAAATGAAATGACTCTAAAAACAAAATTGTAATTCTTATATTGGTTAAAATAATAATATTGTTGCCACAAAAGTCACAGGTTAGAATTAGAGTTGTCAAAAATGAGTTGGGATGTTTTTAGACTGGAGCAAAATAGATGTGTAAAAAATAAAAGGTCCAAAATACTTTTTAAGTTAACATTTCTTTCATGAGGTGGATTGAGATTAAAAGAATTAAAAATGTCGGTTAAGGAATGAAGTGAGACGAAATTAATTTCAAAAAATAAAGTGAAATTAAATGACGGTTTCCGAAGCCATTTCAATTAATAAGCCGGAAAAAAGAATTAATGAAAAAGGCCCCCGCTTCTTAATCAACCATTCATCTAGAGAAATTTTTTATTATGATCAGAATACGGAGATACATCACGTGTTTTTATATAAGTGGTGAAAATTTGTATTTTTTAAGTTATTAATTTTTTACGACATATATCTCATAATTTGTATAATAATACGTGTTGTATCACCTCGTATCCGTCACAACAAAAAATTTCTCCCATCACTGTCCTTCAAGGAAAAGTAAGACCCAAAAAAAGTGAAAAAAGCTAAAGAAAAGAAGCCACTAGCAAATTATGACCGTTAGCGTCACACTTATCCTGCTCCGCATCCCACAGCATTCCCCGGCCCCCATGTTTTCGAATTTTAGAACTCCAAAAACAACTTTGTAGCCGTTGAAGTTGGAAAGCTCTGTCTGTAGCACCACCAACCACCAAGGTCAAGGCGGAGAAAGAAGAAGCAGCAGCAGCGTCGTTTACTCTCTAATCTCTACGATCCTCCTTTTATTTTATTTTTATTTTTATTTCCGTGTCCAAATTTTGCTTCCTCGTTCGGATTTTCGGCGCTCAATTTCGGAAACAATGAAAGGGGTGAAGGGAAAGTTGATGATGAAGTTGAAGTCAATCGGACCGATTGGAATTGGGTACCTGAAACCCCAAGATCGAGTTCTTCAGGTAAATGCATCGGATGGGTACGCGGATTCAAATCTCAACATTCAGACCCATAATTTGATTTCGGAAGAAACGGAGCAGAAGAAGAAGATCAAACAGTTAAAGAAGAATGTGACGGAGCAAGAGCCTGACGTTATCGACGTCACCGAGCTTATGAGAGACCTCGAAGATGAAGAAGAGTCAGGGCAGGATGGCGATGATATCGACGTCGACGACAAGGAAAACGTTAGGCCTAAAATGGTGGCAAAACACCCAGTAGAGTGCAGCAAAAGTTGGGCTAAAACGGAATCAAATTTGGAGGAAAACAGAGCTTCTGAAGCTTCAGAGAATCGTAGACAGACCCCTTTGTCGGAGATTGACATCTCATCTTTTCGGAGACCGGACTTAAACTCCGGTAGCCTCTTCGACCCGGACCTACTAGCAGCCTTTCAGCAAGCAGTGATGGAATATATGAGGTTGAGTGAAGAAGAGAAAAATGCAAGGAGAAGCGAAAAGGAAGATATTGAATCCAATTTTGTAGAAGCGCCAGATCCCGAGCCAGAGCTAGAGCCAGCACCACCTTCAAATGAAGACGCTCTGTTAGCCTTTGAAGAAAAGTGTCCGCCGGGTAGTTTGGATTCATCGGTAGTTCTCTACACTACAACCCTTCGGGGAATTCGGAAGACTTTTGATGATTGCAACAGCGTTCGATTTCTTTTGGAGAGCTTTCGGGTGGTGTTCTACGAGCGAGATGTGTCAATGCACATGGAATTCAGACAAGAGCTGTGGAAGATTTTGGATTGCAAAGCAGTGCCTCCAAAGCTTTTCATAAAGGGGAGATATATCGGGGGAGCGGAGGAGGTTTTGACGCTTCATGAACAAGGAAAGCTCAAGCCGCTCTTTGAAGGAGTCCCGTTGGATCGGTCCATTGGCCCCTGTGAAGCTTGCGATGGAGTTCGATTTGTGGTTTGCTTCAGATGCAGCGGGAGCTGCAAGCTCATCGCCGATGAGGGGCAGCCGGATAAGTGCCCCGAGTGTAACGAAAATGGGTTGATTATATGCCCCTTGTGTTGCTGAACAAATCCAAATTGTGATTCTCTTGTTGTAATGTATGTAACTTGAAATTTCTGATTCTTTGTATTCATTATATTCTTTCGAAATTCTTTTGGCGAAAAGTCGGGATCTGAATAAAAGAAGGTTCTTCGATGATCCATTTCTCTTTTTTCTAGTAAATTTCCTTCTGTTTGAACCAGAATAACTAACACGAACTAAAAATAGACGGGGAAGGCTGGAATTCTGTCTTTCTTTATTTTTATTTCTTTTGGAAGGTTCTTCGTTCGTAAACAAAACGAGTGAAGTGACACAAGAGTTTCCAGATAATGTGGTTTACTACGAAAACTAACAAACTCTCCGGTAGTTGAATATGTCAGCACAAGTAACAAACTCGGGTGGACAAAATGAGTCGATCTACTGAGCGTTCTAGAGATAGAATACCAATCAAGGGTTGTGGAAGGTAGAAATATTAACTAGTTTGTTTTCGAGAGTAAGTAAAACACGTTTTTTCCTTTTTTAGGGAGCCAAAGCATTGCCAGTTGTCTGCAAGGTCGTGATCATATAAAAACCGGAGTACGTTCTTCATTAATCAGTTCTGGGTTATGAGTTTCTGCATCTGCATAATTAATTTCTTTGTAAAGACAGATACCAGCTAGCTCGTAGCTTAATCATATAGAGAAATGGGAAGAGGGACAGTAGAATCGAGAGAGAAGGTGACACTTGCAATTGACAGAGACAAAGGAAGTCAACATGCTATAAAATGGGCTGTTGATAATCTTGTTACCGGAGGCCAACATCTCATCCTGCTCCATGTCAAACAAACAACACCGGCGGTTTCTGCTGTATCCCAAGGGGAGGAAACTGAAAATGTGTACAAAAAACCAGTTGACCCAATAACCAAAGAGCTGTTTCTTCCATTCCGTTCCTTTTGCAGCAAAAAGCTTGTGAGTCGTGCTCCTAACCAATTAGTTTACGTATTATTTTGTTTCTTGATGCAGTTTTTGATCTGCAGGTTGCTTAACTTGATCTTTGCTGCAGATAAAATGCAAAGAAGTCGTGGTTGAGGCTGCCGATGTACCAAAAACCTTGATCAACTATGTTATCTCTAATTCAATTGAGGTTCTGGTACTTGGAGCACCCACAAGAACCGGCCTTTTCAAGTAATTTTTTACTTTCTTCCTTCTTTTTTTGATGTGGTTTCTTACTTTTTATATTTCTTCTTGTTCTTATCTAAGTGAGATTTGGTTATGCATGCATGTTCTAATCTAACCTATCAAAGAAACAATGAGTCGTTCTCTAAATAGGGTTTACGTTCCTATCACCGCGATTAAAAATTTGTATTGTCCATTTGATAATCGTTTAGGTATCTGATTATCATTGTCATCGCTCTCTGTTTATTAACACTATGTATGTTCGCCTGTTTATAGTTATCTAACAATAAGATGAGAATTTGGATGAGTAAAAATTTTCAATTCGACTAATTTTGGAATATAACTCTTTGACTGAGTGCCTAAAAACCGGATAGTTTAAACAACATTACTGATGATCTTAATGTCGTCCACTCTTTGCTCGAAAGCAACAGATCATTCAAAACAACAACAGATGTCCCAAGCTTCGTGCTAAAAGGGATACCGGATTTCTGCACTCTCTATGTCATTGGGAAAGGAAAGATCTCATATATGCAAACTGCTACCACAGCACCACCCCAAAAAGCACATAACCAAATTCAAAAACAATCCAGCAGAATTTCGGAAAATGGTGAACAATCCATGCGCAAACAGCATCCCAGGGGTAAATTTGTTTCTGTTATTATACAACTGATCAAGTTATTTCCCCACTCGTTCGATGGCAGGATTTTTCTCATTACTCATTCAAGTGTCTTTGATTAATACAGCATTGGAGAGGAGGACGCACTCTTCACCCCCTTGCCAGCTGATGCATCATGACACCGATGAAATCAAGTAATTAACCTCATACGCACACTTTGATTCTGTGAAACAATAATAAGTATGCTGATCACTGATGCAATAACCGATGAGGATACTGAGCTAATAAAAATGATGCAGATCACCATTCGCAAGAGGAGGACGATCTTCAATGAACCACTCATACGACCTATCACCAGAGAATAGTGATATATCATCTGTGAGCAGCGGAAGACCAAGCATTGATCACATGTTTCCTTCCTTGTACAATAGTGTGTCATCGGGAATAAGCTCCCAACAATCAATGGGCTCGGAGTTTGACAGCATAAGCTCTGCGTCATCTTACTCTAGACACCAATATATTGACATGAGCGCCTCACCATACGGATTCTCAACATCCTCATCGGAAAGTGGAAGATCATGGTCATCGTCACAAAACGTGGTAAGACAAGACAATTTCCCACCATAAGTAACTGGAATTAGCAGACAAGTTGGTAATTTAGATTATACAAATAGCAGCATTCGATTTAACAAATTTTGAGCGAGTTTGAGCCTGTACGTAGAGATGGTTGAGAGTATTAATGCATAGTTTTTTCTTGAAAATAAAAGGAGGAAGTGGAAGTTGAGATGAGGAGGCTCCAGCTAGAGCTCAAGCAAACAATGGACATGTATAACGCGGCCTGCAAGGAGGCAGTCGCATCAAAACATACGGTATGATGTGGACGTGAAATCTTATTTGAGCATATAATATAGAAAACTAATTCTAACATGCATGAATTGTAATAACATACCGTGATATATAGGCAAACCGATTGAAATCAGAAGAACAACAACGATTACATGAGGCACGAATAGCAGAGGAAGCTGCATTGGCACAAATAGAGAATGAGAAAGCGAAATGTAAGGCAGCCATTCAGGCAGCAGCGGCAGCTCAAATGATTGCTGAACTGGAATCCCAAAAAAGGAGGCTTGCAGAAATGACGATTCTTGGACAAGCTGAAGAGAAGAAGGGAACAGAAGCAACGGCATACAGTTTCAGGTACAGGAAATATACAATTGAGGAGATTGAAGTAGCAACAAATAAATTTTCACAAGATCGCAAGATTGGAGAAGGAGGCTATGGACCAGTGTACTGGGGTGAACTGGATCACACACAAGTAGCAATCAAAATTCTACGTCCAGATGCAGCGCATGGTCGTTCACAGTTCCAACAAGAGGTTTGTGACTTTTTACATAAACACGTGATACAGTTTTCAAGCAAAATTAGTATACAACTGCTTTGATACCAATTTAGGATGTGAGCATCGAACTCTAAACCAACTGGTGATAGGAGAGAGAGCCCTAAGATCACTTAAACAACTAAGGCGAAGCTCCTTTTTTCAATAATGTGGGACAACTCTCAACGCTGACAACTCTTTGACTACGCAGATCGAAGTATTGAGCTGCATACGACATCCAAACATGGTGCTCCTTCTTGGAGCTTGCCCAGAGTATGGTTGTCTGGTCTATGAGTACATGGCTAAGGGGAGCTTAGAAGACTGTCTCTTCCAGCAAGGTAACAGTAAGACCCCGGCTATTCCTTGGCAGCTCAGGTTTCGAATTGCTGCAGAAATTGGCACTGCGCTTTTGTTCCTTCACCAGACGAAGCCAGAACCAATTGTACACCGTGACCTAAAACCTGGAAACATTTTGCTAGACCATAACTATGTGAGCAAGATTAGTGATGTAGGTCTAGCCAGGCTTGTCCCTCCATCTGTACAAGACTCTGTCACTCAGTACCGAATGACATCAACAGCTGGAACCTTCTGTTATATCGACCCAGAGTATCAACAAACTGGCTTGCTTGGAACGAAATCTGATGTCTACTCACTCGGGGTCATGTTTCTACAACTAATAACAGCGAAATCGCCAATGGGTTTGACTCATCATGTCGAGCGAGCTTTGGAGCTAGGGACCTTTGCCGAGTTGCTTGACCCTGCTGTTCCTGACTGGCCAGTCGAGGAAGCCACCAACTTTGCCAAGTTAGCCTTACAATGTGCTGAAATGAGGCGGAAAGACAGACCTGATCTTGGGAAGGTTGTGCTACCTGAACTTAACAGATTGAGAGCATTAGCCGAAGATAGCATGCCTGGTGCTGGTGGTGGTGGAGTATACTCACAAAGACATAGCAAAAGCTCGATGTCCTCATGTGATCAAGTGAGTTGTTTAACCTAAATATTCTAGCTAAGCAAGCAATATTGTACTTAAACAGTCACTGCACACATAGATGATTCTGTGTCTGAATTCTTTGGATATTTTCCTTAAATTCATTTTAATCTTTCGTCTTATGATGTTTAGGATGTGCTAAGCGACGTCCATCAACCACTATCTGGGTACGAGAGCTAAAGGAGCCTGTCAAGCACACCATCAAATGCGGGAATGGAGATTATAGAATCCCATCTTCAGACTTCAGCAACAAGAATTTTCAATTTTCTTGTATATAGCACGTGATCTTATGGCACTATATACGGATAAATCAAGTATTGATAGCATAATTATCTCTTATATATAGTAGAGATTTATTTATTTATTTCATTCTTTAATCCATTAATTAAGAACGATCCACTCAAATGCCTCGCAAGTGTAATCATCTGTTCTTCTTTCCTCTTTTGTTCGAAGCTCAAGTGCACTCCTCTAATGAAATCATATCCATACTAAACATAAATCTTCACTTGTATGGGATTTTTTCTTCAGAGAAGGAAGAGAGGGAAACCCACTTATACTGGTCTACTCGTAACTGCAGTATCGCTGTTCACTTGTAGGTGAAATGTCTTACGTTCAACTCTCATAATGGTGATTATTGGAATCATTTCAATATAGTAGCTAACACATGAACTTCCGAAAAGTATGGGTTCTACCTTGAAATTCATAATCATATACCAGAAAATCAGAAATTAGATCAACTAGGGGGACTAGCTGATCGCGTTCTGATTCTTTCTCTCTTTCCTTGTTCATGACTTGCATCATTCCAAGTAAGTAAACAGTCACTAATTGAATATTTGGTTGTATTTATTTACTACGCTCACGGCTATGCATATAAAAATGAAATAATAAGCGCATCTTAGCATCCACAACAAAGTTGCAGTTGTTTAGTAAACAAAACAAAACATAATTACGAATTTGGCAATGCATTCTCTTCTTCTTGACACTCAGAAAATATTGGGAAAAAAAAAAAAATCCAAAGCCAAAGGCATACTGTAGGCAATTAATTTGCCTCTGTCACATCCCCGCCCGGGCCACCACGGTCTCGATTCCACTGTAGCACGATATTGTCCGCTTTAGGCCTCGACCACGCCACCGTAGCATGATATTGTCCGCTTTGGGCCCCGACCACGCCCTCATGGTTTTGTTTCTGGGAATTTAGAACTTCCCAGTGGATCATCCATCCTGGGATTGCTTTTGCGCGAACTCACTTAACTTCGGAGTTCCTATGGAACCCGAAGCTATTGAGCTCCCAAAAAGTATCGTGCTATGTAGAGATGGGAATATATATATATATATATATATATATATATATATATATATATATATATATATATATATATAAGGCTTACAGGATCCTCACCCCTGGGCTATGTGGGATTTTACAGCCTCCATCTCCACGGCCAAAACAACCACTGCACATGATGCTGTCACAAAACTTGTACCACAAGAAACATGGCCCTGTTATGAAACTACAACTGGGTGATTATTTCATCACCGGAAGCAGCCCAAGAGGTGTTGAAGACGAACGAGGAGATCAGTTTCACACATAGATCAACCTCAAGTCAAGTGTATGTATATGCTGCTCAAATAATCGCATATGACCACTAATTCAAGCATTGTGTTCTCCCCCTACAATGAATATAGGAGACAACTACGAAAGATATGGAACCTTATCGAAGTAGGATACCAAACTGCCCCTAAAATTCTTGAATTAATGCCGGCATTGCATACAAATTCGCAAAAGCTTGGATTCGTATCTTTCAGATTTTAGGCCAATTGCGACGTGTTCAGATTTAAGATAAAGGAGAAAAGAAACCACCACTTTAAAATACTCTGTATATATATATATATATATTTACTTACTGTACAAGTAAGTACTATTAATATCTGCACACCTCTGTTTAATTATTTATGTCGCTTGATACTTCTTTGATTTATTCAATCGAAAGACTCAAAATAAACATATGGGGAGAAAACAGGTGTGCAGTATTCACTTCCAATAACTAATTGCAACTTCATATTTTCAGGACATTTTCTCTGCTGCAGGCTGTGAGAGTTGACCAGCAACGAAATTGGCAATGTCAGAGCTGCTAAAAATCCCTAATTAATGGAGAAGTCACAATCAGAGGCAAGACAACCGTTAAAAGGAAAGAACAAAATCGAAGAGCTTGAATACTTCTACTTGAAATTAGTCATCAAGGAAACTTTTCGATTACACCCTGCACCTGCTGTCGATCATATCATCCCAAGACAAGCAAGGGCCAAAGTCATCATCAATGCGTATGCAATAGGGAGAGATTAAAAATTTTGGGCTGATCATCCTGAAAACGCTTTCAAAACCATGGACTTTAAAGGAAACAATTTTGAATTGCTTCCTTTTCCATTTGGTGAAGGCAGGAGACTCTGTCGAGGAATATCATTCGAACTGCCACTGCCCACATTGAACTTGGATTTGCTCAAATATTTGTACCACCTCAACTGGAAACTTGCCAATGGGATGAAACTAGAAGCCCTCGATCATGATGACTGAGAATTTCGGAATAACAACTAGAAGAAAGACCAATTTGCATTTGATCGTCACTACACTTTCCTTTCCGTAAATGAGATCCAGTAAATAATATATAGGTTTTGCCTATTGCACTAAACTCTGGTTTTGGTGCAATCTTATTGAAGAAAAGGTGGTGAACTTCTAATCTAAGCTTATCCACCTTTTCTTCCATTACAAGAACCAGAGTTGAACTGAAGCTTTCTTTTCTTTGTGGGATCTATTTCATCAAAGGATTGAAAAATATTTATGACTTGTACCAAGCGTCAGGGTAAAGCCCTTCATATTAAGGTTCTTGAACATGAGGATTTATTGTTGATAAACAAAGAAATAATGTGGTATGAGTTCTCTATATTGAATTCTCTATTTACATTGTATTGCTATTAGAGATGGACAATTGAATCCCGAAAAGAAGGGGGAGGGGGAAGTCATTATACAACGGTCAATGCCATGGCCATTGCTGGAGCATCAGCTGCTGTTTCAATTACTGAAACTTCACCCGGGGACAGCAACAGCTTGGTATAGTGGAATTCAATTTGTAGCCGGTGATGGAGAGGTATTGATGTCATCAAACCCCTCTTAAGATCCGCCAGCAATCCCCTTATTGGAATAGCAGCAAGAAAGCTCTTAATATACTCTTTACAGCAGTCTTTTCCTTTCCACACAATCTCCTCTTCTCTATCTCCGTCTTTCGAATCTTTCTGGCTCACTACAATTGCCCCTTCGGCTTTTGTTTCCTTGGAGTTGTTCGGTTGTAATTGGTCTCTCTTTTTCTCATCTGCTGTTTTAGTACCGCTTGGTAATCTTTGTATTTTCGTGTCTTTGTCAAATTTGAGGATATAAGCGTGGTTGCAGCCTTCATACAGCCTCTCCCCCAATGTATCAATTATGTAAAAAGCATGCTGCTCTACCTTTAGGACAAAGAAATGGTCATTCCAACTCACAATGTAGACTAACGGTTTGCTGTCCCATGCACATTCTGATGCAGAATGGCTGATCTCATCCCACACACTATCGAAGGACATGGCACCATCAAGGAAGTCGAAATCCCTATTTTCTAGTCCCTCAGGATGGAAGAATCCTATGAAAGATTTCTCTGGAACTAGAGAAAGAGGACGAACTTTAGATTGAAAAATGGTCTCAAGATCGAAGTGCTTGTCAGGGAAATGCTCTATGTAGGCCTCATTATTGCAGAGAGCTCTCCACTCTGATGATCCATCTCTAATCAGGCTGTCGAATTCAGACTTGATAGGCATCTCATTCTGGTTGGATTTCAACCAATCTGCAATGACTGCAACCAGGGCCGTGCACGCACTCTCTCCAGCAGCACGTTCACTCCTTTGATCAATTGAAGCAAAAAATACTTGGATGTGAAGCTTCATATTTCCATCACGGCTTATCACTTCCTTTTGCTGCCAAGTTCCCACAGAAAAACTTATCGTCCCCGAATTCAGATACTGAACCCTCTGTTTCACGAGACTTTCAGAATAGAAAGAAGAAACAAAAGGTTTCAGAAAAAGGATATGAAAATAGTGAATACAAAAACTGGACATTTTCAAAAACAACAGGGAGAAGTTGAACATGTACCCCAAAACTGGACTCATCGGAGGAGCTAAGCTGCCTGCGATCAAAGTCAATATCATCGCCACCCTCTTCTCCATAATGTTTCTTCAGAAGAGGCTCCTCTTTGGTCTTCGGAGATCTGAAGCTCAATTTCCTCTTCCTCCAAGGTAGGATGCTTCCCTTTGAACTCCACCAGAAGGTTGGCCTGTGGACTGGTGCACCAGAATTGTCAACATGCGAGCCGCCTGCTAATTTATGGTTGCTATAGTGGATCCAAAAATCATCCTCATCCTCAATGTTAGTATTGGAGGAAAACAAGGCTCCAGCATAGTTTGCATATGCTATAGTTTCGTAGCTGATTGACTGTCTGCCACTAGAATCGTCCTTACTGCACTCTGATTCCTCTCCAGCATCATCATCAAGTGAACTTGTGTCAAATGGATAATTGGACGCAGCATCCTCGCTTCGATTGGAACTCCTGCTATCAGTGCTACGTTCCTCGCGGCATGCCTTGTTTGATTTACCAAATGAAACATAATTGGTTAGGATTTTCACCTTTCTCAGCCCTGCTTTAAGAGCAGAAAACTCGTCTTTTTGTGCGGAAATAGCTTCATCAGAATGCAAGGATCCCCGCATGGTCTCTGAGAGTTGTTGAGTGGCTCTCAGTTCCAATAATCTGAGAGAGATCTGTAATTATTGTTGAGGAACTTTGCATAAGATGAAATATTCAGATTCAGAAAAAGAGTACTTGAGCACAACCCAAAAAAGTGACATGAGAAAACCAGTTGAAGAATAAAATAGTCTAACGCACACATAGGCAGTAGTACATACAGACAGTGATGGGATAGTCTCTGAAACCCCAGTAGCGACATTAACAGGAATGTTGAGCCCGAATTCCTTTCCGTCAGACACTGCTGAAGCATATTCCGCGAGGTTCAGTGATGCAGTTCCAAAGACACTGACTCTGTTTCTCACTCCTTTGTTTTCAGCCTGATTCATTAAACCGAAAAACAATCACAAGATCGATGTGACCACAGTTCGTGAGAAAACTTAACAAAAGACGGAAGCACTAAAATCAAAAACCGTAATTGGAAAATTAACTAGTGAAGGAAAGCTAAGTCTATGGAAACCGATACGTATATGAGGTTCTCAATATTCAAATAATATGTCTTGATCATTATGTTCCAATATTCTTGAGAAAACAAGTTCAAAACTTATAAGCATATTCTTATTTCAATTAGATTCCATTCTCTAAATACAATTAACCCACAAAATACACATAAGGTAGCATAAAACGTTTGAACTAGTCGTGTATGTAAAGACGACGACTAGTTGACAGAGAAGGAAGAAAGAAATAAAATCAGATTACTACTTGTCAACTTGATTCAGAACACTACGTAGCTAGCTAGTCCTTTTCCTGCTCATACCATTCCGCCAGTGAACTCTTGAATCGGTACTTTGTCATGTTGGTTTGGTAACTAAAACGAATATTCTTGTATTGATCTTGTTGTGCCACCTTCGCCTTCCTTTTTTAGATTGTTTTTTGGGGATCGATGGATGGATAGTTTACTAAATCATTCTCAGCAAGGAAAAATAGGGTGCTTAGGACTCAATATGCAGGCTCAAATTTCATACAAAACAACCAATTCTACGAGTTCCCCTCTTCGTAAATTAGAGGAGATTAGAATATAATTCAAGTCAAAACCGAAGCGAAGAGAAATAAAACTTTCATTTCTTCTGTCACCAATAGTCAACCCATCAATCTAAAGTATATGGAGAAACAGAGAAACTGGAAAGAAAAAAAAATATCATCAATCCTCAAAACAAAAGCAAAAAAGAGTTGAGAGGAAGAGAGACTGACTGACATTGCAGAGCACTGTAAATGCAAGCTCCCATGTAAAAAACAGAGGCTCCCCCTCCTCCTTGTAACCCGAAAAGCGACATACACTCGTAAACTCCTCATCCCACTCGACCGCCCCATCATCGCCAATTCCACCTTCTTTGGTGAAATTCCTCTTGACAGGAGGCGCAGAGCCGAGTCTCAAGGACTTCTTCTGACCCTTCCACTTAACCTCCACCACCAACGCTCTTCTCTCCTCCACCACCTCCTCCTCCAATTCCAACCCATGTAGCCTCCGTACAACAACGACTACAGTATATTTCTTGGTGGAAACTGCTGCTGCCGGCCATGGTGGCCACCTCATCATCTTCTTCACCACCATTGTCCTTGGATGTCAATATTACCAAACTCGGCTGATTAAAACTGAAATTTCAAGATATGGGTAATCAAGATTGAATTCAAATATCCGCTAGTGGATCATTATAATTATAATATAACCTGCCGTGCCGTTTGTAGAATGGACACAAAAACTTTAGAGAGAGAGAGAGAGAGAGAGAGAGAGAGAGAGAGAGAGAGATGCCTGTTTCCCGACGGCAGCAAAAAATACACATACATGACACACCTAAGAACCAACGTCTCTATTTCTGTTTTTAGTTACAAGCGGAATTTGCAAACGGGTCCTTGCACTTGCGCATATTACTACTCTCACCCTGTGTTCAGTTTCGTGTGCGTAATTTTGGTATCATTTGCCTCTCTGTCCGTTATTATTTGTTTCCCTCCAATTTAGCTAATTCTTTTGCAGTTAGTGACATTCCTAGAATCTCTGGATTCTAAATCTTTAGAGATTCTCTAAATCTGTAAAGATTCTCATAAAAATTGTTTTTTTTTATATTTTATATTTTATATTTTTAATATAGGAGGTATCCAATTAGATATTGAGCATTCTTGTGAGTTCGTTTAAGGTTCCAAACATTGGTCGCTTCACTAGACCCACCGTGTTACATAAGGCAAATATTGTATAATTGTTTGATTTTTCGCAATTTTTTCCATTCCTCGGTGTAAATAACCCAATATTTATTCACAGTCAATAACATCTTCATCATCTAGAGTAATGATGAGTCGAAGAACACCATGCATTGATGGGTGGTGAGGGCCCATATTGACTATCATGAGGTCTTTTCTTGTAGCCGGTATATTCATAGGTTCCCCCCCCCCCCCTTTTTAAGGTTAAAAACACAATCGTTAAAATTATTTGTCAAATTTCACAGGCTGCAGCTTCATACACTATATATATAGGGTCGGGATTGGAAACACACGCTTTGGACACATATTTTGACAACTATTTTGTAAGCCCCCCTTCATAAGGTATTTCAACGATCCGAACCGTCTATATTTTAATACATCATTCATAGAGTATCCTTAAAAAAAAAAAAAAAAAAGATAAATATAAAATCATTAAGACATTCTTTTTATAGTAAAGAAAATGAACGAATATAATTCTATAAAAGAACATTAAATTTAATCCAATGGTCAATATTGGCAAACATAATCTTTTAGAGAATACCTAAAAATTAGACCGTAGACGGTTTAAATTGTTAAATATATTACGAAGTGAGTCGTACAAAAATACGTGTGTCAAAATCGATGTCAATATCATGTCTCCTAATCCTAAACCATACATATATTATATTTACTATTACTTTAACTCACATTCTTTTCATTTGAGTTCTTACTTTCTAGCTGTTTTTTTTTTTTTTACAACAAATAAAAGAGTCAAATATTTATAATTTAAATTTTTTAATTCATGGTCCCATTAATAACCATTAGAATAAAATAATAAAATACATATTTGACACATTCATTGAAAAAGAAAAAGATTTGGTACTTGTATTCAATTTGTCACATCAACCATCAAAGATAATTTTGACATTATTTTTTATATCTCATTTGAAGATGCTCTGAGATACATTTAAGAAAGAAGTGGGTATGAATAAATGAAAAAAAAAAAAAAAAAAAACTAATGAAAAGGATTTGAAAACTTTGAGTTTTAACGATAAGGACAAAATAAAAGTAAAGTGAATAGTACCAGGATTGACTTTTTAGTGAAAAAATATGATTTTTCGTTAAAAATAAACAGTACCAGAAGCTTTTTCGTTAAAGTTTCCAAAAAAAAAAAAGACGAAGACATAAGTGGGTCCCACTTCATGTCCTATTAACCTTTGAACAACAGCAATCCTTGTATTCACTCACCATGTTTTACCTCTCACTCACCGTTTTAATATTTTAATATTTGTTTGCTCCATCTATTTGTCTTCGAAAAAGAGTAAACATTTTAAAAACCAAAAAAGTGTGTGAAAGGGAAATTAGGGAGCGTGAAAATCACCACCCAAATAAAAACATGTTAGAAAATAGGGTAAAATACAAAAAACTACCTCAACTATTGGGGTCACGACAGTTTCATACCTCATCTTTTAAAATTGACAATGTCATACCGCATCTTACGAATTTGTGACAATGTCATACCTCCGTCAAATTTTCTGTTAGTTTTTCTCTTAAGTGCTGACATGGCAAGAGATGGGGACCACTTTCTATTAAAAAATTAATAAAATATTATTAAAAACTAAATTTTTTTAATATTAAAAAAAAAAAAAAAAAAAAAAAAAAAAAACCAGAAGAAGGAAGAAGAAGAAGAAGAAGAAGAAGGAGAAGGAGGAAGAAGAGCAAAAAAAATTGAAATTGGTGCAATTTCCAATTTTTTTTTTTTTTTTTTTTCCTCCTTCTTCGGTTCTTCCTCCTTCTCCTGGAGGAAGGGGGGGGGGGCAAGTGGGGTTGGGTTTTCAAAATTTTTTTTTTCCTCCTCCTTGGGGGGGGGGGGGTTTCAATTTTTTTTTTTTGTGTTAAAGATTCAGCAGATGAAGATGGGTAGAGAGAGAGAGAGAGAGAGAGAGAGAGGGGGAAGGTTTTTTTTTTTTTTTTTTTTTTTTTAACTTTTATTTATTATTTTAATATTTAAAAAATATTAAATTTTTTTTTTTAGTTTTTAATAATTTTTTAATAGAAAGTGGTCTCCATCTATTGCCACGTCAACACTTAACAGAAAAACTAACAGAAAATTTGACGAAGGCATGATATTGTCATAAATTTGTAAGATGCGGTATGACATTGTCAATTTTAAAAGATGAGGTATGAAACTGTCGTGACCCCAATAGTTGAGGTAGTTTTTGTACTTTACCCTAGAAAATATGACTAAGGTACCACCACAAATACTAATCAAGAGATTTGTTCCCACCAAAAAAAAAAAAAAAAAAAAAAAAAAAAAAAAAATTATTTCGGAACAGGTCTCACCAAAATACTGATCAACTGACAAACATGGTGGCAACAACATATGCAAATGCAAACAAACATGAATCAGATTCTGAACAAGGGAAATTGAATTTGATACAGTTATAACATGTATATTAGCAGGTCCCGTACAAAACTAGCGCCGAAGAACTTGATCTGTACTAATTAAACCGTAAATGGACAATTAGCGTTGAGATCGAACCAGCACTGAAACTGCTAGAATCCACTTCCGTTTTTCTTTCCTAAACCAACATTTTTCTTGGTCTCCTAATGAAACTAAGAATCCTTAACCTTCTTGTTTTCATTAATGAATGTTCCCACTGATTTGAACCATCGCAAAAGATTACGATGATCTTTGACATAAAGCCATGCTCGAAGAAATGGAAAGAGACTTTCACTCACACCCCGCTCTTCTAGGTAATTGTGGAATGCATCCCTCATCGTTTCATTAAGATCTCTGTCAGTTGGAGAACAATTCAACCCAAATATACATCAGTTTTTCATGCATAAAGCAGAGCACATGACAGATTTAATTTCTAAAAAGCCAATAAAAAGTTTACAAAAAAGAAGAAAGAAATTCAGCAATGCAGACCCATTACAGAGCAGCAAGGAGGGATACATCATTTCCAGCAAAAGCATATGGCAATGACACACTACCAAAAATACATAAACGATATAATATAGGTTAGAATCGTTGGATACTAATCTACAGTGAAAGAAGCTGTTAAACATATATGCTTAGGGAAATGATTTTCACGAACCCTTATTTTTTCTTGCCACTGGACTGAACAAAACAAATGAGAATCAAGGGCTAAATCACTACCGATATGCTTAAGGACTAAACTTGAGCAATATGCTTAAGGACTAAACTTGAGCCAATATAACTTTCACCTTGAATTACAACCAGAGACAACAACTATCCACTCACAAAAATATAGTCATCGTTGAGCTAGAGATGTTTCCAAGATCAGCAATATTAATGTATTAATAACAGATTTAAAATATTCTTGTTTATTTCGTTGAAAAAACAAAATTTATGTATTCTATACACTGATTATTGAAATGAATAAATCTATGATATTCTCTTGTTCTATTTTATTTCTTTTTTATTCTTTCAGTGTATCTATCTATATCAAATTTCAATGGTCACAGTTTTTAACATATAGATACTACTTCAAATCCAAAACTTTCGCTTCTCAATTAAAAGGGAATAGAGGAAAAGAGATTCACAGACAGAATCATAAAGTCATCCTGCCCAGTGTGGAAGGAAAGCATATCCATATTTCAAAATTAGCATCGATAGTGGGCGGGCTGCTTTTACAGAACATACCCAAAAGAGACGGTTTCTCTTGAGTATGCGTACATAACATCCAAATGGACATTTTTTTTCTTTCTGGAAAAAGAAAGGGAAATTAAAAGTAAGCTCGCTAGCAAGCAACACCAAAATAGTTCGTTCTTGCTGGGAACTGAAACCTGCTTCTGTAAATATCGCTTACATAAATTTCTACATGCATTAATTACAGGTCCAGTTGGTCTTCTTCTTAGGCAGTTACCAAATAATTGAAAAGCATTGTCGTTATAAAGGCTACTGAATATACAATTTTATGCCTTTTTTTTTTCAGCAAAGCCACATCCACATCCTATCAAACAAAAGATATAGAACAAGAAACCCAAGTACTTGAGTAAGATTCTTACAAAGTCTGGCTCCTAGTTCCATTTTATGCCAAGTTGAAGCATGTAAGTTTGATATTTCCGGCCCCGATTAGAAACTAATCATGTCAACAAATGTACATTCCATCAACTTATCATTCAAATACCACAATTTCTCTTAAATACCATGAGACGGAAGACTATTCATTCAGACTAACCTAATCACCCGATTAATTAAAAATCCCAAACTTGCTAGCAAAAGAACATTACCCACAACAAAATCGTAGTTACTCTCGGGGTTTTAAGACAATTTGCCTAGTTTATTTCTCTTTTATACCCAAATGCAACCACAAACAATGACATACATTCCAAATTGTACCAAAACCCCAAACCCTAAACCCTAACTGGCAAATTGGCAATTTTGATTTTATTAAAAAAGAGGAGGAAGGAGAAGAGATCTTACTCAAAAACAGGGCCATTATATGTGGAAAGAACATCACCAGAGCTCGATAAATCGGCGATTTTGCGCAATGAGACAGAGTGAATTCCCAAAGCATCCGGATACAGGGCACAAAGAAAATGTAGAGACTCCTTCTGCCCGGGCTTTGAAACATCGAGGTGTAGGAACAACTGGTTCGTGTCATCGGCATCGTCGTCTTCTCCGCCATCGCCAGGAATAATATTTGCCATTCGCATCACCGATATGGTGATCTCCTCCCGGCCGAAAATCCGCTTGAGCGCGGGGCCGTTGCCGTCGAGCGAGCCCTGGACGACTGTGAAGGGCGAGGGAGGGTTGATTTTTGGGGGAGGGTTCATTTTCTGGACATCGAGATAGTGTTCCTTGAGGGAGCGCAGGATAACGGAGTCGACGGCGGCGGAGGGGGATGCGGTGGTTGAGTGGGGGCGTGCTATCGTGCGCCATGGGTGGTGAAGTGAGCCGAAGCGTGTTGCTGCTGCTGTTGCTATGGCTTTCCTCCACATTTTCGTCTGTGATTTCGGCAGTGCTCCCACCGTGGCGGTGCCGGCTTCTTCTTCTCCTAAACTCTTAAGCGGCTTTTCTTCAAAGTTCGAAACCCTTTGCCCTTCCTTTTCTTTACAGTGAAATAGAATTACATAAATACCCTTTTAATAAGCAGTTTCTAGTTATAAAAACAGTAAGGCGCCATATTTGTCGATTTGCCTATAAATCTGTATAGAACTATTAATTTCTCCCTTAAATTTTGATTTTACTTTATTATTCTCTTAACTTTTATAGTTAGTCAATTTTCACATTGAACTTTTAATTTCAGCCAATTATTTCCTAAACTTTCAACCCCCCGGGACACTAGATTTTAAAAAATTTCATATAATTTTCCATCCATTTTGATTACGTTAACAACACATGACAATTATACGGGGCAAAAAGAATGGAAAATTGGATGAAAAATTTAAAATCCAATCCTAGTGGGGGAGATTGGTTATTTAAAAATTTTTAGGAGGTTTAGGGGGAAAATTGGCTAGTTACCAAAGTTAAGAGATTAATCAACTAAAATTAAAATTCATAAGGAAAATTGGCAGTCCTATACAAGTACATGAGGTAAGCCTACAAATACCTCTAAAATAAAAAACGCACGACTTGCAAAAGAAGTTGTTTGGTTAATAAAACGCCAACGCATATTAATTTGGAGCCCAACATAAGCTCCAATTTTCCTTCAAAACCCGTTTGGACAAGAAAAACTCCAGAGGTGGTTTTGAAGTAAGATCCTTGCATTGACCCTTGGCTGAACCTTAACTGCCGTGCCGTTGCTGGATGGTTCCGATTTTGATTCGATGGTAGACGAGATGAAAAGAAAGGGAGCACTTCAAATGATGACCTACGTATAAGCATTGGGGTTATCTCTAATAAGTTATTATGTCAGTTTATAATCTGTTTTTTTAGCTGATAGGATGACTCAGAAACGCTTTTGGTTACAGTAGGATTTGTTTACCAGCTAGATAGCAAGTTTGTAATCTCGTCGGAGGTCGATGCAATGATTCAACGCTTGTTTTTCAGCTTGGGTTTGGATGCACCACAGAACATATGGTATCAATAAATGATTGTGTTATCTCTAGGTAGCCTTTCCACACACGTCTATTAATGCGAGTGGATGTTGTGCGTATTTTGATTGCGGCGAATGTTTTTAATCAAACTGCTCTCCAGTTTAGTGTTCATCTGGTTTTTGTGTTTCTTTGAACTAGTGTGTTCTGCCACCTGATTCACAGTCGCCATTGTACTGTCTGGGAGAGTTGCCCAATGTTTTCCAGATGAACTATTTTGTTCTGTAGAGTAATAGTTTTAGCAAAAAGCTTTTCCTTCCCCAATTTCTAAGTGTTTGGAAGAAAAATGGCAACAGAAATACATCGCTGCTTGCTTGGTCACTTTGCTATTTGTTTGAAACTTGGAATATGTTATAAAATGGAAACACATAAGTTAATAACTTAAAATTGCAGGTTATGGTGTGTTTGGACGAGGGTTTTGCAAGTAAAAGGGATTTTAAATATCTCTATCTAATGCCTAGCTTGTGGGGTGTTTCTTACTAATTTAGTCTCTTTTTTTAAGATACTTGGTAAACCCCTTATTCCAAACACAACATCAACGTTAGAAGAGGCCTTAAATTCTCATCTTGACTCTCCTAATGATAAAATATGGTATACGGACGGCTGAAAAATTACATGATTGTTTTGTTATTATTATTACAAGTGACTTTCCATGTTAAAGGGAAGAGGGGAGGGATTGAACTCAAGACGTAGTGGAAAAATTGGATGCAAAAAGTGAATGTGGAGTGAGATGCCACACCAGGTAGCACGCCGAGGTTAGGCATATCTTGGTCTGCGGGGCTTGGGTTAGACCCAACCCCAATCTGAACATCAATTTTATATTAGCTACCCAACCATGGTGGATGGGGAAACCCTACTAACCTGAGGGCTTAAGGGCGCACTTTGTTTGATTTCAAACAAGGTGAACAAACCAAGACCACCATAACCTCACCTGGTTAGGCTTCATGCAGGCAACCAATCACATTAATGCCCTGCTAAGTTATAAGCCCACGCTACTAGGCTCGGCAATATCATAGCATTATGTAAATCCTTTTAAACATATTTAATATCTCATATCTCTCCGATATGGGACTTTAGCAATTATCTAATAACTACTTTCCCACTTACCACGTAATGAAATTCAAAATTCAATACAAGGTGATCGATAGAAAAATCTAATATTAATTTCCAGGTGAGACATAGTAGCCCTAAAGATTAAGTGTCTCTCGTTATAATACCAACTCCTACATATTTACTTCGAACTGAAGCCTTGCGACTCAAGGAACAAAAGTACCGACAATACGGTGATTTTGATTTCTTCTGTAAATCGTGACGAGAATGCTTGATCGTCCTCTTCATCAGTGCTTCAGTCGTCCCTAGCTTTGTGTAAAACTGTAACGAGTTGTTCTTCCGTTCTCGAGATAAATTCAGCATTTGGAAGATGAAGAGCTGCATGATATTCCTTCTCGTCGAACTCCGGCTGTTTTAATGTAAACATGTAAGTGTCAGTAGCTGATCTTACAAGGATGAGCCCTAACCTATCATTGGTTAGTCTTTCTCTTAACCTAACCTAAATGAAACTACTGCTACTAATTTTAGGGTTAGAATAATCCAGAACATGTCTTAATTAAACAGAGTAATGTGTATGAACAATCTACCATTTCCAATTATTTTAAAAAATACTCATTAGTCACCAATATATTCTACGAAAATGCATCAATAGTTTACATACGTTTTGAGTTCAAGTGTTTAACTAAACGAAGAGAGAAAGGGTGTAAGAGTCAAAGTTGAGTGTAAATTAAGGGAAGTGATTTTCACGTACTTTTTTTTCTTTTCTTATAAATCTTTGTTTATTTATGGTCTGTAGATTGAATAAATCATATGAGCATCAATAGACATAATTAAACAAGAAAAAAAATCAGTGGATTCTCCTTCCCCCTAACAATTAACTGTTTAACCTGCTAACGCTATTGTGTGTAAAAGAAAAGACATAATTAAATAAGTGCGTGCAGAAGAGAAAAGGAGTGTATAAAATGCTTACCTTGGAATTATGGCTGAAGGAACACTCTCTTTGTTGTTTCTATTAAGAAGAAAAAATGAGTATATGGCCTCTGTGTGGTATGGAGGATTGAATTATAATGGATAAACAATTATTTTTAAGGTACGTTGAAAGAAGAAATGAAAAAAATGAAAAAAATTTGGCTATCTTGAAAGTGAAAAAATGAATTACTCAAGAATAAAAGTTATAACATCCAATTCTTTCCAAAATGAGAAGATTGGAAGGAAGAAGTTTATTTATGTCTTATCCTCTCCTAACCCTCTCAAAATTCACTCCTTAATAATATGTTTTAGCATTGAGGTTATCTCTTATAAGTTTTCTAAGTTTATAATCTGTTTTAGAAATACGATGACTCCGAAACGCTTTTGGTCACAGTGGGATTTGTCTAGTAGCTAGATAGCAAGTTTATAATCTCGTTTGAGGTAAACGATGCAATGATTCAACACTCGTTTTTCAGCTTGGGTTTGGATGTATCACAGAACATTGCTATCAACATACGATTACATTATCTCGAATTAACTAGCCTCTCCGCAGACGTCGGTTAATGCGAGTGGATGTTGTGCGTATTTTGATTGTGGCTAATGTTTTTAATCAAACCGCTATCCAGTTTAGTGGTCATCTGGTTTTTGTGCTTCTTTGAACAAGTGTGTTCTGCCACCTGATTCACCATCGCTATTGAACTTTCTGAGAGATCCCAATATTTTCCAGATGGAACCTTCTGTTTCTGTAGGGAAATGATTGAGCAAAAAAGCTTTTCGGTTTCCCCAATTTCTAAGTGTTTGGAGAGAAATGGCAGCAGAAATACATTGCTGCTTACTTCGTCAATTTGCGATTTGTTTTTAAACTTGGAATATGTTGTAAAACGGAAACACATTGATAAGTTAATATTGTAGGCTATCTAATGCTTTGTAGCGCGTTCATTACTAATCTAGCCTTGGTCTTTTAGAAACTTAGGGCTGGTTTGGTATTACTGTGCTTTGAAAAAAAACTGCTTCTGCTGTGCTGTGTAAATAAGCAGCTGTGAAATAAAGCAGCTGAGTGTTTGGTAAACTTTTTTGTAAAAGTGCTTTTGAAAAAAAAAAAAAAACAGTATTATAGTGTTTGGTAAACTTTATGTAAAACAGATGTGAAAAAAAACCGGTTTTTCAAAGCTGGGTTTTGCAGCTTCTTGTTTTTGGCTTTTTTTCACCCAAAACTGTGAAAAAAAGCTAAAGCTGAATGTTTACCAAACACAAAAACAGCTCCCAGCTTTTTTTTATACTAGCTTTTTTCAGAATCACCTCAGTACCAAACCTAGCCTTAGTAAGCCCCTCATTCCAAACACATCATCAACGTTCTTTGTTGTGCGTTCGTTACTGATTTAGCCTCTGTTTTTTTAGATACTTAATAAGCCCCACATTCCAAACACAACATCAACATTTGAAGAGATTTTAAATTCAAATCTTGACTCTCCTAATGATATAAAAAAAAAAAAAAAAAAAAGGATGGTATATGGTCGGTTGAAAAATCACATGATTTTTTTGTTATTATTAATACAAGTGACAATCTACATTAAAGGAAAGAGGGGGAGAGTTTAAAACCAAAATGCAGTGGAAAAATTGGATTGGTGGATTGAAAAAAGTGAATGTGGAGTGAGATGCCACACCAGGCAGCACGCCGAGGATAGGCATATCTTGGTCTGCGGGGCTTGGGGTTAGAACCCAACCCCAATCTGAACATCAATTTTTTATTAGCTACCCAACCATGGTGGATGGGGAACCCTACTAACCCAAGGGCTTAGGGGCGCACTTTGTGCGATTTCACCCAAGGTGAACAGACCAAGACTACCATAACCTCACCTAGTTAGGCTTCATGCAGGACAACCAATCACTTTAATGCCCTGCTAAGTTACAAACCCACGCTACTAGGCTCGGCAATACCATAGCATTATGTAAATTCTTTTAAACATATTTAGTATCTCGTCTCTCTCCGATGTGGGAGATTAG